GACTCTTACTTTTTGCAAACTGTTTTTTATAAAATGTGTGAAACAGGTTCTGACCATAGTTGCAATAAGTAAAGGTGGTTCTGAACCTACTGAAAGATAAGTCTAGTTATGTGGACTGGAATAGAATAATTCAAGACATTAACTTAAAGCCTGAATATACATCAGCTAACAAGAGTGATAGTTTGATATAGCAACAAGTTTTTCTCATACATTTTGGAGAAATCTACAGTAACTAAAAGCTAAGGGCAGAGATGCCTGTTGGCGGAGATCTAAAATATATAGGTTTTTCTGTTGTGCCACTACAGAGATGCCAACTTCTGGAGATCTCAAATCTGGAGATTTTTTTTCAGACCAGCATCCCCCCCCCCCCCCAGAAAATTTTCCTTTCAATCTGGACCCCTACTCCCCCCCTTCACTGAGCAATTTTGTGGGAAAAACGTGGATCTATCTGTCAGGGACTTTAATTGGTTGAATACTTATCCAATCAAACTCTCGCTTATATAGGAGTAACAAAGAAGAAACTTTTTCCTTTCTGTTTGCAATGAACAGTGTGCATCACACAAGAAAATGAAGCCAGAGACCATAATACAAGCACAAGAAGCCTGATGATTTTGGATGTTTTGGAACATATGGAGCTTTAATCTTAGTTTTTTGTGGGCAACTAATGTAAGCTTCCTTTTATCTGGGAGTTTTGGTCACTTGTACAGGAGAGCAGGGGATTGGCTCTGTATCCAGGAGATTCCTGGATAATCTGGGAGAGTCGGCATATATGCCACCATATCATCAACTCAACACTATCCTCTGAACCAAGAAATTGATTTCTCCATGATCAAATTGACCTCCCATCCCAAAAATCCAGTAGCACCCTTCAATTTTTACCTCCAACCTCACAGCTGAAAAAGGGAATATAAAATTATAAAGCAGAAAATTATGACATATCGATGATAATGACCAGGAGATTTTTTTCTGTGGCCTGGAGACTCCTAGATAATCCAGGAGAGTTGACATGAATGTTAAGGGAAAAATAAAAATAAAATGTTAAGAGTTCAAGGGTTAACAGGTAGGCAGGAAGATCACAGATCCGAATTTGTATGGCCCTTATATGAAGAGGCTTATATTGCAGCCAATCATCTGTAGTAAGGGCTGGGTTGTACTCATCCATTGACCTTTTATTTTCAATCTTGTGGGGTAGTGAAGAAAGGATCCATTGAACTGACCATGACAATGTTCACAAGGTTAAAAACTATACCTTTTTGGATGTGGGGGATAATTTTACAAATATACATTGCTGTGAGCAGAAATAAATGAACGTAGTAAAATAAGCTAGTTTGTTGTACTTATGTTTTGCTGCAGGGTGGAGTCAACCTCTCTTGTCTTTAGGGTTTTTAGGAATTAACTCATAGCAGCTCTGAATTTGCCTTGAAATCTTTTCAGTCTTTTTCCAATATCCTTTTGCTTAAATTTCTGGGGCGGATCCAAGAATTTCTCAAAGGGGGGGTTGTACACTATTTTAGTAACCTTTAACGCCAATGG